GGGGGGGGGGTGTTCAGTTGGGTTAAGCATCTGACTCTTGATTTTGGCTCGGGTCATGATCTCAGAATCATGAGATCAAGCCCCAGGATGGGCTCCATGCTCATCATGGAGCATGCTTGAGATTCTCTCTCTCCCTTCCCCTCTGCCCCTCCCCCCCACTCATGCGCGCATATGCGCGTGCATTCTGTCTCGCTCAAATAAATAAATAAAATCTTAAAAAAAAAAAAAGCTGCCGTATGTTCGAACAACCCTACTTCTGGGTATATATCCGAAAGAATTCAAAACAGGATCTCAATGAGATACTGTTCACAGCAGCATTATTCACAAGAGCCAAGAGGTGGAAGCTACTTAAACGTCCATCAACAGAGGAACAAGTAAAGAAAATGCAGCATATACAAATGGTGGAGTATTATTCAGTCTTTAAAAAGAAGGAAATCCTGACTGGTACAGTTGGTAGAGGATGCAATCTTGATCTTGGGATCGTGAGTTCAAGCCCCATGTTGGGCACAGAGTTCACGTATTTAAAAAAAAAAAAAAAAAAAAAAGGAAATCCTGATCCATGCTACAATACAGATGAACCTTGAGAACATTATGCTCAGTGAAGTAAGGCAGTCGCAGAAGGAGAAACACCACTTATATGAGGTATCTAAAGCAGTCACACTCAGAAAGTAGGAAGGTGGCTGCCAGGGACTGGGGGAGGGGAAACGGAGTTGTTCGATGGATATAGGGTTTCCATTTGGCAAGATGAAAAGGTTCCAGAGATCAGCTTGCACAACAATTGAGAATATAGGTAATATGACTGCACTGGATACTTAAAAATGGTTAAAATGGTAAATTCTGTTCTGTGTTTTTGACCATAGTAAAAAAGAAAACAAAAAAACCATAAAACTAAAAAACACGCACAGTACGTGTGGAGGGAGAAGGGGAAGGTGCCCCTGGGCTCGGAGGGACAGCCACAGCCAGAGAGAAAGGCGTACCCGATGCCAGGCTGGGCCTTCGGAGCTCACCCAGGAATCCTGTCCCTCCTGCTGAGCCTGCTTTCCCACAGGAGCAGAGAGATCATGGAGGCCCGGGGAGCAGCACCCTGCGGAAGGCAGAGCGTGTGTATGTGCTGGAGGTCCTGGATGCACGGACAGACCCCGGGACCATGCCAAGTTGCCAGAGTCTGTGTCCACTGCCCTGTCCTGGAGCAAGGCTGGGGGCAGTGGGACAGTCTGCTGGAGGGGCCAAGCTCTGCAGCAGCCCAGCTCCTAGGCACCATAAATCAGTCCTCTTTATCTGGGGCAGCCCCCTCAGGAGGGGCACTGACCTTTCGCCTAGACCTCTGACTTTGAAGGCAGGACAGGAAGGAAGGGAGGGCCTAGAACCGTCATGAACTGGACCATAAATGTTGGCAATGGGGTCACAGACAGGACAGGCTGACATCTTTAATGGCAGAGACTTCAAAGTACTCCGTCATCTAGGGAAGGAAGGAGTTCTAAGACCAGCAGCCTATGAAGAAAAAGGAGCCTAGCACGGGTAAGTCTGCCCCCCAGTCCTGCAATGTGGAATCTGAAACAGCAGTGGTCTGAGTCCCCTTTCTTCCCACAGGGAGCACCTTTTAGGGGTTTCCGCAACTGGAACATTCTCTTTAAGGGAGAGACCACACCAAGGAGCAGAACAAGCCAGGGAGGTGGGGTCTGGATGCAGAGGAGGGTCAGGGTGCTCCCGGGGGAAGGCGGGGCTGCGCCCGGGGCTCCGCCCCCAGGGGCATCCCTGGAGAGACTGCGCCGCACTCACCGCGATGCACTGCCTCATGATGCAGCTCTGCTTCATCCGCCCGGGGCCCCCGAACTTCTTCATGTCCTTGCAGAAGTGGCACTCTCCACACTCGGTCCGCAGGCAGGCCTCGCACTTGCGGCATCGCGTCCGGCGCCGGCGAGCTCCCGCCGTCGTCCGGTTGGCGGCCAACTTCACGGCCGCGGCCGGGCCCAGCTTCCCCTTGGGCCGACCTACCGCCCGGTTCTGCAGGAGAGCACACAGGACCGGTGAGACGGGCCCAGGGCCGGGTGTCTGGGGCTGATGTGTTCCGGTCCCAACCTCAGGACCTCGGATGGCGGACCTTATTTAGAAACAGGGCCTTGGGGCGCCTGGGTGGCTCAGTCAGTTAAGCGGCTGCCTCCGGCTCAGGTCATGATCCCAGGGTCCTGGGATCGAGTCCCATATTGGGCTCCCCACTCAGCGGGGGGCCTGCTTCTCCCTCTCCCTGCCTCTCTGCCTACTTGGGCTTCTCTCTGCCAAATAAATAAAAAATCTTAAAAAAAAAAAAGAAAAGAAACAGGGCCTTTACAGAGGTGATCCAATTAAAATAAGGTCATTAGGGTGGGCCCTAATCCAATAGGGCTGGCGTCCTTAGGAAAGGGGCGGTTTGGACACAGGCACAGAGGGAGTGCGTGTGGAGACACAGGAAGGAGATGGCCATGTGACTGGAAGTGTCTATAAGCCAAGGAAGCCGGCAGCCCCCAGAGGCTAGAAGAGACAAGGCAGGATCCTCCCCTAGAGTCTTCAGAGCGAGCATGGTCCTGTCAGCACCTTGATTTCAGACTTCTGGCTTCCGAACTGAGAGAGAATAAGTTTCTGTTGTTTTAAGCGCCCCCGTTTTGGGTACTTCGTTTTGGCAGCTACAGAAAGTGAACAGAGGCCACCCTGCTTCTGAGAGCACGTCCTGGTTCAAGACCCTTCCGTGGCCGCTGCATCTCAAGCACAGGCCCCTGCCTGCCTCCGGCCAGGTTCTGCTTCCCCCGAGAGGCCGCACACGGCCACACGGAAGGCCTCTGTCCCCTCGGCCAGAAACACAAACCCCCTCCCTACTCCAGTGGGCTAAGACCTACTCATTCTGCAGGTCCCAGTCTACATACTGCTTTCTTCTGACAGCCCTCCCTGTCCTGTGTTCGGGGCGCCTTCTACGGCCTGTGTTCTCAGGGACCTTCCCTTTGAGACACAGAGCTCAGGAAGGCAGTTATAAAGAGTGTCTTGTCACCACTGTCCTTTGACAAGATGGCCTAGCACACAAGGATGTGCTCAGTAAACCAAACAAAGCCTGGTAGAATGAGACAGTAACCCTAAGGAGGCTTGACTTTTGAGTTCTTCTCTAAACGGGCTCCAAATGCGTCTTTCCCTGCGACTCAGAAGAAAACAGAGAAACAGCCCACAGCAACTTCTTTCAAGATACATCTCCAAAAGCTAGTGAAACAAAAGAAAAGAGAGAAACAGAGATGAACAGAAGAGCGGTACAGAAATGCCGAACAGTGAACCAGACAGCCACAGGGCCTGCTCAGAGTCCTGCTGTCCGGGAGGGCAGCCTCAGAGCCCCTTGTCAACCAGGATCCGTCGGGGAGCTCCCAGGTCAGCTGCCAGAGGACACCGTCTGCTGAGGTCCCCTGCACACCTGGCACCAGAAGTGGGAGGGGCCGGGATGGTAGTGTGTGCTGTCTGAAGCACCTTTCCAAATAGCAGGAGTCTGCTGAAAAATGGTTCGTCAGTCAGGGAGACAACTCCTTACCCCAAAACTATCTGATCGAATTGGCATCTAATGCTTACAAGAGCCCCTTCGCGGCCAATTAATCTCAAGTCCAGTCCTAGCCTTTTAATTTTACTTGCTTGCCACACCTGGATCCCTAACAAAAGCCCCTCCTCTTGTCAGCTCCCGGGCCCAGAAGTGTGGTTACTATGTATCACAACAGTGCAAAGGGTCCTCCTTCTAGAGACCCCTCCCTGCAATACCACAGGGGCTATCTAGAAACCTATAACCACATCAGGAAGAAACTCAGTCCACCTTTCTCTGTGAATAAAGCCTCACCATCATCCATTTCTTCCGCAGAGCAGTGGTCCCTGAAGAGAGCTGAAAATCTCACACTCCCCCCTCAACCCCCTTTGGTACTGACACCTTGGATCCTTCCCTCCAATTTATTTTCCTAGCAGCCTGCAACATTCAAGGGAGCCCTGCTACTCTGGATCTTTATCCCACTCAACTTGTACTGAACTCCAGAGGAAAGGGAGACACGAGACATGGCTCCAGTGGCCCATCCGTCCTCACCGACCCCAGCCTGCTCCCACAGAGCCACTCCACACTCAGTCAGGCCCCCCTCAGCTAGCCCGGCCAGCGGCCCTGTCACCACTGGGCCTATACGCCACCAGCTGCGTTGGGGAAGGGGCGGCTCCCATGCACACTGCTCTGTCTTCCAGCAATGAAGGTCCTGCGGCCCCCCTTGTCACACACGGGAGGAGCTCAGCAGCCCTAACACCGGAAGAGGGACAAATCGGCCTACACATCACACGCGTCCATTCAAGTCAGGTACTGCTGCCAGAGGAGTAGTTTAAAAAAAAAAAAAAGAGGTTTCAGAGCCTTTGGAGTTAGAGAATGATACACAGGGGCCACGGACCTGAACACTAAGCAGCTGACCAAAGAGCAGCAAGTGTGCCAGGCGGAAGCAGCCATAAGGATGGTGACAGCAGTGACAGCGGATACTTGCTGAATGCCTGCTACTGTGATCATTTTACGTATGATAAGACCTTATTTTCCCAACAAGAAGCCCATGACAGATGCCATTTCTCAGACGAGGAGACTGGAGGGAGAGGCAAAGTAACTTGCCCATGGTGACAGAGCCAGCAGAGGATGAGCACGCACCCAAACTGAACACCATAAACCAGAGCTGACGAGCAGGGTGAGTCCACTGGAGGGGAGCACACACCCCTGGAATGGGCCCACGGTTAGTGCCTTCACACCCACAGTAGGGCAGGTGCCGAAAAGACGTACAGAGAAGCACATTCACTTCCAGAGAAACGGACACCAAGAAGGCTTTTCCCTCTCTTCACAGCACGCAAGAATCAGAGGTCCCACCCCTATAAAGAATGCATGTCCTGGAAGCAGCTCACTCCTCTAAGCCCCGAAACACAGTCAACAAGGTGGATGATTCTGAGCCTCAAGTCGGGCACAGAGAGGACAGTGCAGTCCAACATCCAAGGACAAATGGGGTGAAGGGCTCAAACTCTGACCCCCAGAGCAGGAGAGTCTAAGGACTAGCTGCTTTGGTGAAGGACTGAAAAAAAAAATTCCCAGAGTCCAAACATGGCTCTCTCCTCCCACTCAGGAACGTCAGGTATAAACAGCCACTGGGCGCCTCTGGCGTTACTGGCTGCGAGGACAGCGTCTCTCTGAAGTGACACGCTGGGCCGATCCAGCCAGTGTCACAGAGCTCAAATGTGACTGTGAAACAAGCCTACCTTCCAGTGCTTTCCAAAGCACATTCCCATCCAGAGAAGCACTTTTCCAACCCATGGAAAAAACAAATCCTCCTGGATCCTGATGGCAGCTGAGACATCCTGGAAAATGACAGAGCAAATGACAGACAATGTCCTGGAAGAGGTGTGAGGAGGCCCTGTTTTCCGAAGACCTCGACTTAGGCGGTCTCAGCCGGCTGCCAAGTCAAGCCAGAAAAGCTGCTGCTGCCTACAGCCTCATGACCAGCTTCTGTGGGAAGTGGGCGCCAGCTGGCTTGTCAGGAGTCAGTCGAGCAACACTTGAAATGCTGGAGCCTAAGACAGACCACCCAGAAAATCAACAGGTGAGAAAGACATTGGAGGGTCTCCATGAAGGAAGGTAAACAAGCCAAAGCCCTGTCATTCTGGCGTGAAGCTTCTGTCCTAATCTCTTCTGTGTGATATCTAAAGGTTCATCGCCCAATTCTAAATTCCACTCTATCCTACCTTTGCCTCTATTTGTTCAAGTAACCCAGAATGCATCTTTGTTAATTTCAGCACGAACTGGTCTTCTCAGCAAAAGGCAATGATGGCATCCACTGACTTTCCCTTACAAACCAGTCTTCTCAATCCCAAGGCCTCTTGTTGATTTTATCAGCCCAGCTCCACCTGCTAAGGAAATCTGCAGCCCCCATGCCCCCACACACAAATCATAGCATTCCAACACCTCTTCTCCACCAGCTACTCCTAAGCATCTTCCTTAAAGGGAACATCAGTACAGCAGTTCTTTCATTCGTTCCACAAATATTTACGGAGCCCCTCCTATCCATCAGATCCTGTCTTCATGAATATTCATGGGCAGAACCTCTTCAATCCCTCATCACTAAAACTCTGGGATTAAAATTACTTGGAGTAACCTAAATTAATGAAAAGACATTCCATGTTCATGGATTCAAAGACAATATTGTCAGGATGGCAATACTCCCCAAAGTGATCAACAGATTCAAAGCAATCCTTATCAAAGCCCCAGCCGGTTGATCCTAAAATTCATGTGGAAATGCCAGGGACCTGGAAAGGCCACAATGATCTTGAAAATGAAGAATAAAGTTGGAGGATTAATACTTTCTGATTTCAAAGCTTAACTACAAAGCTACAGTAAACAAGACCACGTGGTGCTGGCATAAAGACATACGGATCAATGGAACTGAGAGTCCAGAAATAAAACCTTATAATACTTATGACCGAACAATTTTCAATGACCAAGTGATTTTCAACAAGTGTGTCAGGACAATTTAGTGGGGGGAAGAATAGTCTTTTCAACAAATGGTGCAGGGACATGCAAAAAGAATGAAGTTGGACCCCTACCTCACACTATCTGCAAAAATTACCTCAAACATGGATCAAAGCCCTATATGTAAGAGCTAAAGCTGTAAAACTCTTAGAAGAAAACTGAAGGGTAAATCTTCATGACCTTGAATTAGGCAATGATGTCTTGGATATGACACCAAAAGCACAGGCAGCAACAACAACAACAAAACAGATAAACGACTTCAAAACTAAAAACTTTTGTGCTTATTGAGGCACAATCAGGTGAAAAAGCCCAGAGAATGGAAGAACATATTGCAAACAATACCTCTAGTAAGGGACTAGTACCTAGAACACATAAAGTACTCTAACAACTCAACAATAAAAAGACAAACATCCCAATTTGAAAATGGGCCAAGAATTTAAATAGGAATTTCTTCAAAAACACATATATAGGGAAG